TATACAGTATATATTATTTTTTTTATTTATAATTTTTATTTTAATATAAAATTTAATTATAAAAATTCAATAAACCTTTATTAAAATTATTCGTTTATTAAATTGAAAATTATTAAATTCAAAATTTTGTTTAGATTTTTTATATTTTAAATACATACTGTATATACATATATAAATAAGTTTTTGTTTTTTGTTTTTTTTTAATATCAAGTGTTAAATTATAACAGGAAACTTGTTACTATTTTTATATCTATAGCATTTTCTTTTATTACATAAGACGCATGCAAAGTAATGCAGAATCAACTTACTCATAATAATATAATAAATTGGGCTTTAATATTTCGACGACGTTACACGACGGCATTCTGCCATTAACAACAGCCTGCGTATATAGTAAATGGATTACTGTAAAACTAGTGATTGCCCTGTGATACATTGATATAAAGTATGTTTTAACAGTTGAATACAAGGCCTAAAAAGGCAGAATCCGCCGAAATGAAAATTTGAGTATGTGTCGATCGGATATTCAAAAAATTTAAAAATTTGGCATACGTAGAACACCGCAAAACATGTCTTACACCCTCGAATTCATTACCTTTCTATAACAATAAACCTTCTGATAGACAAAGACAAGTAAAGCCAGGGACCAACTTGACGTAGGGGAACATCATCGGGCGCAAAATAAAAAAATCATATGCTCCTAAAAACATTCCCGTTCCCATAGAGCCGTCGATAGACAAGCCAGGAGAAGTGTTATCAAACATAAGAAAAAATCATCTCACACCCCTTAAAAAGGAATTCGCGTCTCATAAACTCGACAATGGGCAAGACTAATAATTCCTTTAACTAAAAATGTTTCTAACTAAAGAAAAGTCAATATCACACCACATTACACACAGTATATTGATTTCGATAATCTTAGAAATCTTGTATACATGTTTCCCCATAACCAGGAAAAAATATAATTACATATCCGCTTCTTTTTAGAATAAAGTATGCACATTGCGTGTTTTTACAACAAAACATCGCATGATATTCGTTGCAGATATGAAACGCAGGTTTTTTAGTTGTCCTTGTACCACGTGGCTCATCTTTTATAAGCCCAGCATGATTCGGAAAAAAAAAATTTTTTTTTCCTAATATCATCCCTTGGCGCCATATTTTGCGTCATTCTTTTGATCATTCTTAATTGTTTCTTCTCGTCGAATTGGGTCATTGATAAATAAATAGCGAAAGTTAGGTAAAACAATTAATATCATAATTGCAAAGATGTCACCTCCGCTCACAGACACCTCCCAA